CCACTTGCTGCTTTCTGCTATGTGGTGTATCGCCAGTACTATCATAAGTGCAAAACTACCATTGCGCAAGCGTATTGTACCGCTGGTTAAAACATTTATTACATTTACTCGTTTTGGTACTAGCGCATTCACCATTAATTAAGCTTTCTGAAGCACTAAACAATTAACTTTTCTCTTTAGTTAGGGGCCCCGCCACAAGGCGAGGCAACGAAAAATTAGTCTATAGACTCATTGAGTTATCCTCCTCCACGGAAATCTTTAGTAAAAGGCGAAAGATTTATGCGTAATGAAGGAAAACCAGAGATACCCGAAGAGGAATTACAAGAACAATAATTCCAATTGCGGCTTTCTTTCATGTGGTTTACCGCTGGTGTTGTCATAAGCGCTATATTGATATTGCGTACACGTATTGCACTGTCTGTCGAAACATGAATTAAGTTTGCTCCTTTATGTATCGGTGCACTAAGCATCATTGTAGCTTGCTAGAATTCCTTAACGAGGACCTTCTCTCCTTGGTTAGGAGACCCGCTACAAAGCAGGGAAACAGAAAACGTGGTCTATAGATTCACTGAGCTATTCTCCTACACGGAAAAAAAAAACAAGGCAAACGATTTACGCGTGATGAAGGAAAACCAGAGTTGCTCTAAACATGGAATCAGGAAAACAATTATCCCACTTGCGACTTTATCCCATGTGGTTTATCGCCGGTATTAGAGAGCTTTAGCCTCTAACCGCGGTTGCGGTTACCCGTTTGCGGTTCGACGTTCAAACACAATTCGATTTAGATTGGCGGTGGATTCGGATCTAAAACTCTCTATTGTCATAAGTCCAAACTGCCATTGCGCACGCGTATTGCACTCTTGATTAAAACAATGATTATGTCTACTCTTTTCTGTACTTGCGCACTGACCATTAAGCTTCTTAGAAGTCTACACAATTACCTTCTCTCTTTGGTTAGGAGCCCCGCCTCAAGGCAGGGCAACAAAAAATTAGTCTATAGACTCATTGAGTTGTTCTCCTCCACGGAAATCTTTAGTAAAAGGCGAAAGATTTATGCGTGTTGAAGGAAAACCAGAGTTACCCTGGAACTGGAATCAGAAAAACAATAATTCCACTGGCGGCTTTCTTACATGTGGTTTACCGCCGGTATTGTCATCATCTTTAATTCATCAGCGCTATACTTCAATTGCGCATGCGTAATGTACGGTTTGTTTAACATTGATTACGCTTATTTCTTAGTTTCGGTTAAACCGCTTGACGGAAAATTCTGTCTTTTTTACATCTCAGAACGTCTCGGGCATCCCATTTCGAGAAAATAATTGTCAAAATTGGTAACAAATAAAACACCACTTCGGTTAAAGGAGAGTAAAGTTGAATGTTTCTGATTGAAATAGTGAGACATGTTTCCTAATATTTGTCACTTTTCCCAGCATCTTGTACTTGCTTTCTGTTTTTTTTTTTTTTTTTTTTTTTTTTTTTTTTTTGATGCCCATACACAGCATTGAGAAGCTTGCATTGATACTGTGTTCAAAGTAACCAAAAGTAGGTTCATCATATTTTCTGGTATTTTAACAGAAGAAGAGCTAAGCCCGCGAAACGTCTGAGAACTTGGAACTTTTTATCGCGATTTTTGTTTGTAAATACTGAACTCTAGACAACCTGCATACAACTCAGTTGAAGACAAAGTTAGTTTTAGGATGCAAAATCCCGAAAAAATTTTTTTGCTCTGCGTGGTAAGAATTTTGGTTTCCTGCCTCGTAATTTTTTTTTCCCATCCAGTCTGGATCTAATCTCTGTCCCGCCAATATGATTCTTTTTGTCCCTGCAGCCTATATATCGCCCAATTAGCTAATTTCATTATAACTGACTATCGCCTCGGTTCCTGAAAGGCCAATTAGCGCTAATCCCGGATTTACGTCTAATCCACGACTTTGTTGTTCCCTGCTAGGAGAGGTATTTCCCCGTCACGCCCGGCGAGAAAAAAGACTACTCCCCGCAAATAGACTCTTCTCACGGCGAGAGAAAAGGACAGAGACCTTCTTTCTCTCTCTCTCCATTCCTTCGTCTCAATTTTCTCTCACCGTTCATCAGAGACTCGCAAGTAAGGAATGTTTTGACTTTACTTTTAAGCGGAGGCAGCGTGGCCGGCTGTCCCTAGTTTGTATGGCTCTTCCACCACTAGCTGGATTTATTCTTTGGTTGCGTCCCGAATTGCAATCCCCGGCCACTCTTTTAAATAGCCAACTGAATATCTCCTGACAGTTGAGGTTTTTAATCCTGTTTATACGTAATATTTGGATTACTTAGTATTTGAGTGGAGTGCCTGAACCGAAAACCCAAACGCACAGTTTCCAATACAACTAAACCTTTACTTTTTACCTTACTCTCTTCACGATTTTATGTACTTCTTATAGATTGTCTACAGCATCAGTTTGAGTCATAACTGGAAGTAACATTTTTTATTATATAAACACCGATGAAATACTAGGTGAGCTTTCGCGCGAAAACATGATATCTGCACACGTGAAAATAACATGTTATTTTCACATGTGAAAATATCACCGTTGCTGTCGCTACATAATAAATCGCGCCTTTCGCAGGAAAAACTGTTTCATTGAAATGGTTTGGTATTTCTTTGGTGTTTATGTAAAAAATGGAACATTACATGGCCGCTTGGAGATACGAAATTTCTCTTCTCGAGTTGAAAATATTTCACTCATTCGCTGCGCTCACTCATGAAATATTTTTCAACACTCGAAGAGAAATTTCGTATCTCCGCGCGGCCATGTAATATCCTCTATATAAGCTCCAGCTACACGACCGTAGTCAAGAAAACTTTGATTAAGATAACTGATTTGACATATTAATCCTGGGTTTAAATCACTGACCTTGTTTTTGCAGTAACAGGCACAAGGTTTGAATAGCAGCCCAATTGAGTTCCAAGTGAAGATGAAACAGATGAGCTCCAGCGGTCAAACGTAGTTTAGTTCCCGTAGACAGAGTGTTGGTCCTGGTAAAGAAGGTCGGAAGAGACGAGAGTCGGCCAAGAAACAAAGACAACTCATCAAGTTGTCTGGTTAGTCTTGATGGCAGAAGAAACAGCTCGTGGAGCTGGGCGTCACTTGCGTTGGATTCTTGAACGACGTTGAGGTAGCTGTGGACAAAGAAAGAGGCAAGGGCAGCTTGAAGAAGTCTTTACACAACTTTGGTCAAGTTTTTCTGGTGTAGCATACTCCGTTCATATTTATAGACAAAAACCTAAAAGATTCAGACAGTATTTCACAATCTGGATCGAGAAACCTAAATGTTGGTACAATCTCATCTATTCACCAAGGAAGACTTTTAAAAAACCGAAGGAGCTTTTTCTTTAATAGTTTGTGAACAATGGTGGATAAATTTCATTTAAAATGAATTTTCTAAAGCACAAAATTAATCACTGATTTTCTATTTTTGGATGGCTTTGGAAGCATTAGATACCGTCTATCAAAACTCACGCTACTGTTTTCAAGTCTTGTATTTTTGTCAAAACTGGAAATTAACTATTGTGCTTCATGCTGTCATTAAAAATTCACTTTATTTAAACAACATACATCATCTCATTTAGTATACAAAATTCCAAAGATTAGAGCAAAATTTGAGACAAAAAAAGAATATCCGAAACATCTCGAAGTTTGCTCCAAAAAGCTTGATGACAGAATCATTGAAAAGGTTTGGGTAGAGACCTTCACTATGCAGAATTCTGTGAAGCAAGGAGAGGATCAACTTCCCAGATATTCACCTCTTGTTCCTAACTGTGTCCTATAACAGTCCTTAAGGTAGTAAGGGGATGTTATGAAGTCACAACATGCACAATTTAAAGGCACTATCCGACGAAAATAGCACCATCAAACGCTGCGTCAAGGGGGCCATTGCTATCAAACAGAGAAAACCCTCTCTGAATAGAGACAAGGGCCTGGATCTACCGGCAATAGCCCTTGTTTGATTCATCAAAGTTCTAACATGACTCCGAGGCTTTCTGGTCATATTTCTATATTTGGTTTGGTCGTCTTTGTGCTCAGGTCTCTTCTGGGAGTTGTGGGACAATGGAGTCGTGAGATATTTGCAATTTTGACCCTGAAGCCTCAGAGTCATGTTAGAATTTTAACATATCAAACGTGGGCTATTTACAATCCTCTCTTGGGGATAGATAACAACTTCTCTGTCATGCAACTCATCACTTCATGATCCTGATTAAGTTCAAGCGATTCCGACAAACAAATCGCTTTTTGTCTCAACTTTTGCTCTGAGTCTTGGAATTTTCTATACTAAGTGTATCCGCCAGAGCAGGTGGAAAACCTTTTTGGTAATACATATTCGCATTACGACATGTTCCTGTACATGTTCTCTTTGCTACATAAATACCAAACTAAACTGTGACATCATGACCCACAACTTACTTGTCTACAAAATATAACAGGAAGGCACAAAATTTACTGCATTTCCTTCGAAGCTCAAGACAGCGCAGGTGTACATCATCTGGAAAGACAAGTTCATTTGATTATCAACTTTAGCTCATTATCATGACAACAGGGGAATATATCCTGGTATCCAATGAGGAAACAGGGCTGCGGATTTTAATATCTGGCATCTATTCAAAACTACAAGCCCCAAAAGCTTTAAAAATAATGGTACTTACTTGTACGCGAGGGGAATTTACTTATTTCTCCTTTTTTTTTCTTAATATAAAAACATTCATATTTAGAATAGAACCTTTACCTGTCAGCATTGTTATGGTTCCATCACTTTCCAACTTGAAAACCTGCTGCCTATAAGATCAAATCTAATTAATAATAATTCTGTTGTTTCTCTAAAGCGCAGTACTAGTTTTGTATGATTGAAAGCAACATTCACTCTAAATTATAAAGGATATGGTAACATGCTATCAAACATGACAAACTACTCGTGACCACTAGAATAAAATAATATCTTCATCATGGGAAATATGACAGCATGTGTATTGTAGACTCGCCGTTTATCATTTGTCTCACAATAGTCACATCATCTTTCCTGGGAATATTTAGGGCTCTCACTAAGATTTCAAGTTGCCAGGTAAATACAACAAGTAGGTGGGCATTGTCATTGGTTCTATTTTTTTTTTCTATTTTCCTTTGAAAGTAGCCGCGGGCCATGATCATAGCAGCCAGGGAAATCCCAGCCCCTGCCACTTAATGACAACCCTGATATTACAAACCATTTTAATGACCATGAGTTCCCAGTTGGCTTGATAACTCGACTGGTTAAAGAGCTGCACCAGTATTGGAAAGGTCAGGGTTCGAATCCCATCAAACCTGAATTGTTTCAGGTTTCTTTTTGCAACTGCATAAGTTGCTTCTTTGACTGCATTAATTGTCTTTGCATCTATTTCTTCGCTGCGCAGTTGCAATTTATGAAATTCATAAAATCACCGTTATTTTTATCCATTTAACATGACGCACACATGGTTAGTTCATCAAAGTGGTTAAAGCCACTGGATTTGTTCTTGGTACCAGTCCCGAGCTCAAATCCTCCACCACACTTGTAAATAGCCAACTGGTTCGCATCCTACCAATGGGATTCTTAACCTTCATATTTTCCATTTAAGTTATTTATTTGTTTCATTTTCCCTGAAAAGCCCCATAAGGGGAGAGGATGACTGAGTGTTCATTTTTTTCATTTCATTTTCATGGCAGAGTTTTCAAGCTGCTGGGCATAAGCAATAAATTTATTATTAATATTGGTGATAGGAATTACTAATGGTTAACTATCAATAGGAGTCCAATTCGGTCTGTAATCATACAAGTGATAAACAAAATCAAACAATCTCGTAGTGGGAGCCCAATTTGTTTAATCATGAGTATGATTACACACTGAATTGGACGACACAAAGTTCTATTATCAATTATTCGTATCTGTAACAAAATTTGTGATACTTTAGGCTTTTTTATATTAAAACACCAGAAACTTCTTAAGTTTTTTGTTATAGCTTTAAAAAAAGCCATTTAAGTGCAAGTGTGTGATGGTGCATACTGTCCATTGCAATTACTTAGGCATCAGGGCTGTCATTAAGTTTTTCAGCAGCCGTAGCACAAGAAGATTCACCTGTAACATCTCATAATTTATAGTGCCTCCTTTAGCTTTCCACTTTGATCACCTAACATCAAGTGAGTTCAGCTGTAACAGGTGTTACAGGTTACGGCCCTTAATGACAGCTCTGGGCATGACACATACTGTCCTATTAGTGCTGAAATCAGGACAGTTGATAGCCAATCCGATTTGAGAATTTTGTCATAGTTATGATTAACTGGGGAATTGAACAGCTGGGAATTTCTTTAAGTTCTAATCTCCTTTTGTTTCCTAAGAAAGTAGCCAGTGGACACGCTAATAGTAGCCCACGCAAATTCCCCTCCCCTGGCCCCTTAGTGAAAGCCCATTTCCCACTTATTGATGACACAAATTAAGGGTGTTACAGGTTACCAGTTCACACTAAAAAATATAAATGGTGATTACCTGAGCATAAAAAATAAGGTTTCCATGTGCTGAGGTAGAGCATTGGCCATCACAAAGTTTGCTCCAAAAAGCTTGATGACAGAGTCATTGAAAAGGTTTGGGTAAACACCATCACTATGAAGAATTCTGTAAAGCGAAAAAAGGATCAATTTCCTGAATTTATATTCCGAAAATATTTCTCTTTTGTCCCTAACTGTGTCCTACAAGAGGACCGGTACTCAAGATAGTAAGACAAAGTTATCAAGTCACGATGTCAAGGTAATTTATTTATGGGTGGGCATAGCAGGCAAATGCAGACATATTTCGGGTGGTCACTTCTCTCCACTGCAACAGTATCTATTTACTTTTCACTATTTCACTCTGAAAATTCCCTGGCTTGTTAACACGACCCCTTCTTATCATTTCTGACATAGGGGTTAAATTATTTCATGTCAGCATACCTACCCTCTCCTGAACCAACATTAACACTATTAACTTCTTATTTCGAGCACTGAAATTGTTCGGTTAAGGGTGAGTTAATAAGTGATACATTTTCCACTATGTCATGCTACACTTCTAAATTTGCTACCACCTGTACCAGGGCTCGAAAAATGTCCCATCTGCTAGTCTAGGACAATAAGACTATCTTGCTGGGCAAGTAACTTTTAGAGCTTACTTGCCCAATAGGCAGGGTTCCAGGTAAGTCGTTCTTTAGCAAAAAAATTAACTATGAAAAGCAAGAAGTGGCCTTGGGAAAGCAAAATGTCCAAAATGTGACGGCTGCTTGCCCAAAGGCCAAGCTTTCTTTCAAGGGTTTTTTCCAACCCTGTTGTGGATCTTGTACAGTCATTTCTCATCTGCCATTTTTTCCTCTTTCCACTCTCTGATATCCCCTTTAAGGTTTTTTTTAATCCATGTTAACCCCAGACTACTTTTCCATTGCATTCAGTGTACGTAGAGTTAAATCCATGACACTTTAAAAGTTACCATAACATTTCAGAATAAGCCCCTGAGAAAATCCTTTAAGACAACCCTGGGGCTTACGTTGGAATTTTTTACGGTATTATGTGTATGATTAGAACTTATTTTTATTGACAAGCCAACTCACGCGCTGAAGATTCCAGTAGCCAAATAACCACTCTGACCAGGTACTTCCTTGAGTCTGCTAGAAATGACGTTTCCACTGCAGCTAAACTCTGCTGGAATTCGTAATACTAAACCTGGCAAATAGCAAATTTTAACAGCTGCCATAAGCCGCATGATGAATAGGCTTACTATGAGATTTGAATATTCAATCCAAGTGACCGTGCCCCTGAAACAAAACGGCACCTATTGCGAGAAGGACAATCCCTAAACATTTGATTGGTCTGAGAACAGTAGTAACATCCTTCCCGTAGCAAGTAATGTTTTGTCATGGGGATGCAGACACTAAGATTGAATATTGAATTTCTGTTGAAAATTAACCAGGACTTAAATAAATAAAAATGATATAAAATTGATAAAGGAATATTATTTGGAACAATATTAATTACATATTTTTCGACTGCTCGTCATTGGAATATAGTCGACTCTCCAGCTCCGATCCCCTTTTGTCACGCTATAATCCTGATAATATATCATTACCGTCCTTCTGAGTTGCCTGTGCTTAAAATTATTCTTCTCAGCATAGTACTCGACAATTATAAATAAAATTGAACTAACATTTCGCTTGATCAACTGATGATCAACGTCATTAGTATAATCAATATCAGTGTTCTATGTGTGTTCGAATACTGCACGCATAAGTAACTTACGGGGCTGCACTGATTTTTGCAATCGAGCCCTTATTTTGCTTACCAGCTCCTTGCACATGTCCATCGCCACCATCTCTGCTAATTTCAGCTGTTTTTTGCCTCTTGGCTAGCGGTTCTTCCCTCGCCTCACTTTGATCGGAAAGGTCATCAAACTCAAGACTGTCACCCCATTCCGAAAGATCTTGTAAATCGTTCTCAGTGTAGTCAAATTCCATCACGTTCTGTTTTTCCATCAAAGTAGCAAATTACCCGCCATTTTGATACCTCGATACTTCCACTAGTACCCAACCTCCCTTGTGTTGACACAGGTCGCCCAGACTCTCAGCCTGATGGGCAACAAAGAAAATATGAGAAAAACATTTTGGTCCATTTTCTTCCCGCTATCAGGGGAATTTCAATAAATCGAAAGTGGTCTATACTATAAGAGACTATAGGAATAAACAAAAAACGTACGGAGTTCTGCCTTTTGAACAGATTCGAGACAAAAATTAATCTCGTACCCAAGAGATCTGGGTACGAGATTAACTTAAGGTGAGTGTTTGAAATGTATTGTGAAAACTAGCCTAGTCGAGACACGGCAATGGACGTGCACTCGTTAACATAACGCGTCTTACAAAGTTACATGAGTTACATGAAGTTACATGAAAGGTTTGTCTAAAACAAACTCAACAACAAAATTGAACCGACGTACTCGCGTCAGGGCGTTTTCATTGACCAGCTTTTTAGAGCGATTTTGGCGCGAATTAAGAATATCTTTCAGGTTCCACAAATCGGTCATCGAAACCAAAACCCCTCTGTCAAAATGGTAGTTTTGACTTTTTAATGACGTTTTGGTTATATCTTACATTTATAATGCGCTCAGGAACGGGAGCGCAGCTTACATTTTCGCAGGTAAAAAGGCTCTAGAATGTATCTAAAAATAAACTGGTCCGTGAAAAGTCCGTGACATAGGCCTAGTAAAGGACTTGCTCGCTCCGGGTTATGGGCTACCTGCATAAAGGCAAAATCACAGCGAAAAACCAATGAGGGGTGCTGGATCTTGTGTTGAATAGACCTTGTCACGGTTTTCAACGCCATCTTGACGGGTAGGCAAAAGCGTGACAAATTACAGTGTCTGTATGAGAATCTAATGTAGAATAATTCCCGTAAAACGACTGCTCTGAAAAAAATATGAATTTCAAACTAAAGCTTCACTCCTAAGTTAAGGATTCTATTGAAAAAATTGTGGGCGTTACATGCGCTAGAAGACCTAGAACATCTTTTTAAAATTTTCCATACATTTGTCTGTAAGAAAGTCTCAGGAGAAATTTAAGCACCGTCACGCCCCCAAAATTTTTTAGTACAATCCTTTGCTTTGTACCTTTAATTTACAATTCACATTTTTTTCAGAACAGCCTTTTTACGGAAACTTTTCGACATTAGATTCTCGTACAAACACTGTAATTTCTCACACCTTTGCCTACTCGTCAAGATGGCGTCGAAAACCGTAACAAGGACTATACTACGTAGAAAAATAGAAAGCTGATCTTATCGCAAGACATCGAAGAAAAACTCTAAAACAAAAGAAAACAAAAAAGGGACAAAGGTAAAGTGCCTTTTCGATAATACACTTTTTTTACCAGTTGTTTGTTTGTATTTTTCAGTTGTGTATGGTTTGTTTTTACTGTTAGTTTCTCTCAGTCGTCCGCCGTCAGAAAGAGTTTACTGTTTTCTACCGAGTGTAAGTGAAATAGAACCGTCAAAGGCCGTTCTTTGGATCAAGGATTCGCCAAACCCAATTTTTCGTTTTTTCAGATTGCTCTGTCAGAGAGACGACCAAAACCAGCCCCCTCCTTTGATCTAAGCGATAAGCTACGCCAGAATGGGCTCCTGGCTACACAATACGTGTGGAAACTGTGACGGCAGAGCATCACTACAGGTCATATTTCCCTTCAATTCATTGTGCGATTTGTCGCGAACAGTGTCCTAATTGTTTTCGGTCAGAAAAAATACTCAAGTGAATAATAAAAAAAAGTACAAGTGTCTCCTTTATTAATTTTTCATGGCAAAGGGAAAAATATGAGCCTCCTGCAATTTAGTTCGCGATAGGCAATTTACACGTACAAGGTTGGGAAAACTTTACCCCGTATCCTGCTGTACAGCTTTAGCATCACCTCTCTTGTCCAATATTCCAGTGGAACTTCCACTGTTTAAGTTTTTTCTCCCACACTTTTTCCACATATTGCGCAAACGACAGAAATGAGCACAAAAGCCCCAAGCCGGCATTTCGCGACGTCGCCTGCGTAATCAAGCGTACCTCTTTTTGCTCTAACTCGCGCGGAAGCGCTTGCTACGCAGGCGACGCCACCACTAGTTTCCCCGCGATAAAGCGCACAAATTCCTTACTAATGACGCGTCCCTACCAGTATCTCGGCAGTGCTTCTGATTGGATTTAAAGCAAATTTTCAATCAACTAGAAGCACTACCCAGATCTAGTGGGAACGTCAGTGGAAATTCTGGGCTCGCTCTTCAGTTGTCACTTCGCGGTAAAACCAGTGGTGACGTCTCGAAATGATGCCTGTTTCCTCAGGCTAAAACAATCTCGAGCATAAGTTTAAAGTTCGACCTTCATTTGACGATTTCTTTGGTCACACAATAAAGAAACACAAAATTTCTCATTTCATTTATTTTATTGCTGAAAGTAAGGAAAAAGTACAAAAAAAATATCAAATACTTACACGGCAGTTCCAAAACAAACGCTTTTCATCAATAGATATTCATTTACCATAACGTCGCTTACACGGGCAACAGAAAAACAGGTGCGGGTGGCCAGACACAGGGTTAAACTTAACACAAAACTCACAAACGGTACTAACACAGGACTGTCTTTGTGCAAGACTTCTTCAATTTCATAACCAGCACGTCTCAGTTTCGGGTTCTGTCAAAGATAAACACAAGCACACATGGTGAAAACAGGTTTAAAACTTCCCACCCCGTACCATTTGTTCCCTTTCCTTTGGAGCCTCAACCATCAATGAGGCGCATACCTTTTCAGTAAGTTGTAGTCGTTACAAGCACTCCCTTATTTTTCTTCAAATGGGGCAGATCGCGTAACACTCGAGCAGTAGACGGCAAATTCGTGCGTCTCGCTAGCCGCTCGCATGATATGCATTATTCCCCATTCACAAATAAGAGACTGTTCGGAATCCAACAGGCTCAGGCCTAATTCGTCTGCTCAAACGAATCCAACAACTCCCAGCAATGTTAGGACCTGCAGTTCATCGGGGAAGTAAAAATACTCTTAAGACTTTGTAAACCGCTTGTAATGCGCGTGCGTGGCCCTAACAACACTGGAAGAGCTCTGCAAAAGCATAGGTTGTGGTTCAATTTTATCCTTGGTTTAAATTTTCTTTTCTTTTCTTTCAAACTCCTTATCATACATAACCATACCCAAAAACAAAAAAAATAAAATTTAAACCAAGGATAAAATTGAACCACAACACATACATTGTTGCGCTACGTTTCGGCGATCTCACGGAACAACAGAAATCTTGGTAGGTGTGACCGGTTTCAAACTTTGCGAAACAACTCCCAACAGGGTGTGCAAACAGACGCACCATGCAACATCCAACAATGTTGCAAGCTGTTGGCCAACAATGTTGCGTCCGTTTGCACGAGGCTTTAGAACTTTGAAGCGTGCCCATCCGCCACCAACGCTTTTTTAACGCAACTGTTTCAAGCCCTGTGTTCCCAGTTTGGGGGATTTGTCATTAAAGGTCCTCAAGAAGGTGGGGAATTTGTAAGCCTGGCAATGCAGCCGTCTCTCCCTGCTCCTTCTAGCCTGCAACACAGCCGTTTTTAGTACCGTCACGCAACGCTCGACAGCAAAAACGGCTGTGTAGCAGAGTACGCTCCTCACCGTTTGGACGTTTCATGGAGACATCCCGCTCAACGTCCAAAGCTGCGAGAAGCGATAGTCTATTTCTATGTGGTATGCACGACTCCGTGGGGTTTTTTCAAAATGACCGGTCTGGCCGGGCAGTCCTGACCTTAGGAAAGCGCCCTAAGAATGTCAAATAAACACCGTTTGCTTCGCGGAACTTACGGATAATTTAGGACTGTCAACATTTTACGAACCCTACACTTGTATCCAATTGCTAGGGGGCGCCACAAGGATCCTAACCTGCAAGCACAAATTCCTTCGATCAAAGGAGACTCTACAAGCAGGACATTAGGTTCCCGGAAGTATGACATTTTGTTATTTAGAAAGGAGTGCGTAAAAAAGGACAGACAAATGCGAACGGCGACGACAAAAAAATGAACAAACACGAATAAAGGATAAACTAAGATAGAAAACATTTTGCCCTCTGATTAACAGCTGAACTTTTGGAAGTAACACAATTCTTTCCTATATCCTTTTGTGGAAATGTATCGCGCATGAAGCCAAAAAGAATTTGACAAATGGGCTGAAATAGTTTTAAACCCCTTACAGTAGTATCCGGTAAGAAGATCACCATACTTAGGAAAAGGCAAATTTCCCCTCGCTGCTTGCAATGACTTTCAAGAAACCAATTCAGAATTCAGTTATACAGCTATTTCGAGAAAGGTTGTCGGAAAAAATGTGCACGCGACAACCCCGAAAGGTAATATGGGATATGATCAATACGCTGTTCCTCACGACTGTAGCTGTCGAACCTACTTTTGTTGCTTTCCATTAGCACTCGCCAACATATGTCCGTGGCCTCTCGTGCCATCCTTTCAAATTTCTTTGGAGAACGGGGCAGACAAAACCACCCACAATACCTTTCGGGATTGTCGCGTGCACTTTTTCCGACAACCTTTCTCGAAACAGCTGTATACAGCACCCGAGGATAGTAAACCGGCTTGACTTGCCACCGAATCCCGTTAAGAGACGAACGACTGCACAGTGAACCCACGCGACCACAACCTCGCCTACACTGTTCAGCATTGAGTAAAGTCAAAACGCCGCTGGGCAGCTTGCTACGCCTCTGGGGAAAGAAAGCCCTTTCATTTTCTCTAAATTCAACCCGCTCAATACGGACACCCCGTTAGTACGAACAGTTTCTTTGGCCCTTTCAGTGTACCGTATTAACGGGGTCTGACTGTGACTGTATGCTATTCCCACAAGGCAGCACGCTACCCCAAACACAGTGCACGCTCAGCTACACGTCACCAGTACCTATTAGTTCTTTTCGGACGTAACAACAAAATACAAAAGAGAAGGCAAATAACAGGAAAACATGGCCCCGTTTCCCACACTTCCCATCTCTTGGAATTCCACTTCGCACGTATTCTTGATTTTTCCGAATATCTCGCATAAAAAAATTTTGCAGGTATTTAGATTATCAATTATATGAAAAGCTGAAAAATTTTCAAGTGAATATTTCGAGGAACAAAAACGACCAAATTGCTTCAAAAGGACCAAACAGACTTCGAGAGAGCGAGGAATTCATGCGTACGCATAATCCTCATGTTGTATACATATTTATGGTCATGGTTGTGTATGGCAACTCTGGTTCCTCTCCCTCGCCCCAGGGCCCAAATTAAGCACAACTGCCATAAAAATTGGTTAAACAGAAAATTTTTTTTTCTCAGCTCTGCCTAAATTTCGCCACGCACCACAGTTTTTCCCCCGAAATGATGTCCGAGGCCAGGAATGAGGGCAGATATTCCATACTCATGACTTGTCACAGCCCAGATCTGGGAAGTGCTTTCAATTGGTCGAGCTGCAAAGGAACTGATTTTCTTCAACCAATCAAAAAAACAACCCAAATCTGGGTAGTGACACGTCATCAGCATGGAATTTCTGCAGTGGTTCCTCAGATATCATTTCAAGGGAAACTGATGGTGGCGTCGCAAAATGTGGCTGTTCCCTCAGGCTAAGACAAAAGTGAAGAGTAACAATTCTAACCGACACTAAGGACTGCAAAAGTAGGTTGAGTTTGATCGTCTGGGTGAAGGTAGTCCTGAATAGGACTGTTGTTGTTGACAGTGACTGACGTTTCGACAACCTGTGCGGTAGTCACTTTGACTCTGAAGATGACTACCGCACAAGTTGTCGAAACGTCAGTCACTGTCAACAACAACAGTCCTATTCAGAACTACGTTCACCCGGACGATCAAACTCAACCTACTTTTTAAATGACTCCTGGGTTAAAACCTTTCACACTAAGGACTGCGTTTAGAGGTAGCCCCTTCCGTTTGCTGAGAACTTCAATCAGATCCAACTCTTACTAGGTAAACAGGTGCGGATCCACTCCCGACTCGACATTTCGCGTTAATCGGTTAGACTTTTCATAATAGATATATTTTTTATAAAGATAAAACTTTCCAAGTTGCAAGGCTTCATCCAAGGTGAATGGAACTGGCCAATATCCTGCCTGAATGACTCAGAAACCCAGGAAAGGGGACTAAGGGAGAAATATCTTAAAACTTTCCCGGGGAAGCATGCCTACACCCCCTCTAGAAGATTGCGCCTTCTGCGCTCGTTTAAGAAATAGGTCAGTATTTATCCTAGATCTGCGCCTAGAAAGCACCCCCGCATGCGGTCTTCCAGACTTCCCAACACCCGCCTGTTGTTTTAACAGAATTCACTGCGGTAAATTATGGAGGACAGAAGTCACCAACAATGTATTTACAAGCCAAGTACAGAGGAGCCTAGAATCCAACATACCAAGTTACATGAAGGCTTATTATTGAAGCATTGAACCAGTTTTGTTTTGTTTTCTTGCTTTTGATCTGGGGGAGGGGTGGTCGAGTGACAGCCATAAGGGGTTGAGGGAAGGGAAAGTTAAAAATTGGGCGTTTTTTGGTGTCGTGGGGACAAATATTTTGTTAAGCTGTGCTGTGCTGAGGTACAGGTATTGTTCAGTGTCCTTTGGACTTTTCACTGTTATTATGGCAATTGGTGACCACAACATAAGCAACGCCAACAAACTAGACCAACCTGATTGTTTGTCAGTAGAGCAAGCATGAATTAATGGCGGTTTTTTTAAAGAAAATCACACATGCCAGTAAAGTCTCCTTTTTGGTCTGACAAAACTGTGGTCAGACAGACTCGAGTAACCATGTATGGTAGACCCAGAAAATTCAACTGATTACTGTCATATTGTTCATTGTAACAATGTTACTTCGTTTCTATGACAATTCACACAAACTTAAGGTAGATTCTATCCACCCATATCATGATAGTCTTCGGTATTTACTTAACCTGAACATCCTATCTGACCACTGATTAGATTTGAACAAACCTAAGTCAGACACTGTCAGATAAGCAACTGTTATCTGCAGCTGTGGCAAATACCCCCAAAATGGCCATGCATACCACAAAAACAAATAATCAACACTTACCTCAACAGCTGGTTCAGTCAAAGATATGCCTCTTCAGTTTTCAATGATTTTAGATTTTAGGTTTGCAAAGATTTTCAGGTTGATTTTGGGTGACTGTTATTGTAGAGGGAATATTTTATACAACATATTTTATTTTATAACACAAAAGATCTCACAGTGTTGGCTTTCAGCCAATTGCCTTGTGTTAGGACTATTTTGGGGAAAAGATTTTATTAACAGTTTTAGTTGTGTGTGTTGATTTAAGTTTCAACAAACTTTACAAGCCATTTCTCGCTCTTAAAAAGCAGTGTTTAGCTCCATGTTGATTTACACTTCCCAGTTACTTTACACACCAAACTGCTTGCTGTTAGTTTTAAAATCCAACACACTAAAAATCATTGCTGCCCAAACACATTTTTCAACTGCCATCTTCACCTGTCAGTGCATCTCCACTTTAACTTAAAAACTGGCATTGTTGAAAAATTCAGAATAAAAACTGGAACTCTTATTGAATACAGAGGTTCCACTTTGCTTAAAAGCTGCCTAACGAATTCATTTGCTACTATCTTGGAAATCACTAAAACTATTGAAAAAGTTTTTATCAAGCACTGATGTCCAATTACGTGACCCGGGTATATTAAAATGGCAAACAATCGGATAAACACAAATCAAATAAAGCCTCAGTCTTCCAAAACAAATCCACATTGAAATGTTAATAAGGCCAAATTGCTTCAAGATCTTGTTTCTTACATGTTGCCAAAACATCTACATTCTAAAAGCCAAATGAAACAGACAAAGGATCATGTGGAATGAGCTGCCAAATAAAAATTTGCCGCAAACAAATTTCTTTTTTCACTACCACTGCCCGCCATAGCTGTCACTGTACCATTCTTGGTTCGACTGGTTTCCGTAGCCACTATCATACAACGGTTGCTGCGCAATTGGCTGGCTTCCCCAACCTCCTCCTTGGCCCTGCCCCATGTACCTGCGCTTGGGATCAGGATACTCCACTGGTGTTTGCAGTGAATCTGCACCATACTTCCTCTTGCCAGGAGCAACACCACCTCCTCTTGGTCCACCACGTCCGCCTGGTCCACCCCTTCCGCCCCGTGATGGTCCACCCCGGGGTCCTCCGCGTCCGCCTCTTCCTGGAAACCCACCACCACGCATCGGACCTCTACCGGATGAACTACCACGGGGAGGGCGTGGAGGTCCACCTCTACCACCTCTAGGAGCTTCCCCATACCGGTCGCCATAGCCATAGCCGCCACTGTAATCATCATAGTAGCCATCACCATAACCACCTCCATAACTATCTCTATAACCATAACCCCCACCATATCCACCACCACCACCATAGTAATCATCATACCCCTGATCATAGCCTTCATAGTGACCATGCCTATCTCCATACGGTGCACCACGACCACGCCCGGAATGACCTCCACGAGGACCACCTCGCTGCCCACCGCGTCCAGACTGTCCCCCTTGACGTCTTTCCTTATTAGCTGGCTGTGGCTTAGCCAAGGCAATTTCTAGTGTAATCCCATCCATTTCAACATTGTTCAGAGCTTCCATGGCTTTCATAGCATCCTCCCGTTCATTAAAGTGAACAAAGGCATAATCTTTCACTTTCTTGGCCTTTTCAACCGTGCCATATTCCTGGAACTTCTCTTTCAGCTGCTCTTCAGTAACATTGGGTGAAACGTTCCGGACATAGAGAACTTTGACCTGCAATCAGTGAAAAACATGTTTCAGAGGTTCAAACCAAGTGGCCTGTTGCTCCTTAAACCAAGCACTGTGGGGCAATGAAGCCAAGACTAGCACTACAAGGAAACCTGACAGAAGGATTTGCATCTGAAAAGGAAATTCACTACTACAATGATGACAATGGCCGGTCCTTGCTTAATGTTACTACTGACACTAAAAAAAAAAAAACCCTAAACAGCAATGGTTTTGGACTGAGGATGTGTAGAAGGTAGACTGAAACTGTTAGAAAAAGTCAAACTGTTACTTTCTAGTTTGGCTTTGCTATTCAGAAAAATTGCAGTCCTACGCAAATTGAGCCACCCTATTCAAAAAGGCAAACATACAAATTTAAGAAAAAAAAATACTTTTCTGAGGAAATAATACGTATCCTCTCCTTAGCAGGGGTTTCAATAAGTACCGACAACTGACAAAACACTTTGGCTTCTTTGCTCAGAGAAGTAGGTTACTTTTTTTGCCAAAGAAGAAGCAACTATAATGTTTGAATAATGTCTGAATAATGTCATACACATTATTGTCATAACATCTCAATGAAAACGTAATTATGTTGTGTTCTTTAATTCACAAAGAACCAAATTATGATGTGTTCTTTAATTCACAAAGAACCACTGGATTTACGTGTATGGTACGCTTTAGTTAGCTGGTTATCTCGACGCCATATTTCAGTCAATTTTCCACACCTTTTTATATAGATTTATCCAGAGTTTGTTCACATGCGAATGTTTGTTATTGAATTATAATAGTCATTTGTGTTCATTGCTTGAAGTTGATGGTGTCGCTGATAAACTGAAACTTGAGTGAAAGCTACCCCATTTTTCCTGTTATAACGCGCACCCTTTTTTGGATGAAAGTTTGCTTGATAGCTCAAAAATCTGTTGTAATTTTGGGGTGCGTCTTATAACCGAGTATCTTTGGGCAACAAAACATAATTAAGTAAAATTTTTAACTCTAAAAGTTCTAGCTGCTCATTCTTTTCTTTGTTATCAGTTTTCAATGACTTCTACACATCCTCTTAAGCTGTCTTCTAAAGCTGATATTAAGCGACAAACAAATCATTTTACATTCGAAACAAATCATCTGGCATCAATCATTTTGAACTGAATGTTAATGCTTGGTAACCAGGCAAATATTTGAGCTCATGCATGACCCAAGATGGCGGTTTGTTTACACTCATTTCTACACTGCGATTTTGAGCTTCTTTCAGACCTTTATTTTCTAAGGAAAGCTCCCAAATCTGTTGAGAACTGTGAGAGCTCTTCTATTATAGTTATTTTGATAAACAAGGGCTTAATTTTACCGGATTTGGCAGTTAATTAACAAATTATTCAGGCTCATGCATTACGCGACTGATTTTATCTTGATACTACCAATGACAATATGCCGCAACCAAGACAGCCGACTTGTTTATGGAACAAAACGGATTTCCTAAGTATTTGCAGCTTCAGAAAACACTGCTTTTCATGTTAATAAATGTTGTTTTATTCTCTTTTGATCGAAATATGTAACCTTTTGCATTTTCATTCCCATAAGTGAATAGCCATAATCCGCATCGTTGGAAAGTGTGTTGTTGTAGTTAAGGTGAACAAAGCTAAAAATCGCGGTTGCGCCTTGTAGCCAGGTATTTTGGCTTTATTTTCAGAAAAATTGGGTTGACCATTTTGGGGCGAGTCTTATAACCAAGTGCACCTTAAAACCGGAAAAATATGGTACATCTTCTTGAATGAAAAAGCACACTAGAAATCACAATTTGGGCAGTGTGCGAAGAAAGTAGTGTCCGATAGACCGGGGCTAGTGGATTTTGCTATCGGGCTAGTGAATTCTGTTTTTAACTTGCCCGACGGGCAAGTGATGTTTTTTGAGGAATTCAAATAACAAAGGAACTGTGAAATCAATTCTGCTAGTCAAAAAGTTTTTGGGGCTAGTTGAAATGATGTCTGGGCTAGTAAATGCTAGCTTCAGCTTGCCCGAATGGCAAGCTGTAAAAATGATTTTCTTTGCACCCTGTTTGGAGCTCGGAAATTTTAAAATTACTTGGGAGGAACATGCCCCCAGAAACCCCAGAAAAAGGGGACTAATGGCCCCTTGTTGTTACTGTCAGTTACTCTAATGAACCTGCTGGCTACTTCCATTTTCATTGAAACCCCTGCCTTAGGGATACTGAGAAAGAGCTAACCAAACCGAAGCAGCCAGTTGGCTATTTACTTGAGACTACTGCGAACAAATCCAACTAGCACTCAGGGAGTGATGTAAACTCATGATCAGGGCAATCTGATTGCATGAAAAGAGCTCACACCCTATCTCCTATAATATGAAACTCTGTATGTACTTTAAACATGAAGTTTTGCTAAAAAGAGGAATGTCAATACACGGTTAGTCGTTTTTTTAGTGACTGCAAATTCCTGAATTAGCCTTACAATCAACTACATACTTGATTAACTCTTAATATACATTGTATTTCAATATCTCTTAACCCTTTAAGCCCTGATATCCACATACAAATTCTCCAAACTGATCTCTACAGATTTCCTTCCAGAATAACTTGAGAGAATTTGATAAAAGATCAAGGCATTTTCCCCCAGGTGATCATTTTATTAATTCTCATAACCTAATGTCTTGACATTGTATGGATATCGTTAGGAGAAAATTGACGTTAGTCACTATTGGGACTTGAAGGGTTAAAACCCCAAAATGATACTTTGCAGTAGCCTGAATTTCATCCGATTGCTTCGAGTTGTTTTCTCCTCTCAGCAACATCTGAATCGACCATTCCATTTGGAAATTTGAAATTTTAGCGGGATTATCGCTTGATATTCAGCGGATCACATTGGTGGCATGCTTCCGTGGAGTGCAAACATTTCAATAATCTTTATAGTAAACAGCAAAATTGCCCTTATCGTCGAAACTGAATTGCAAAATTGAACTGCGAGTAAAGAATTATTGTGGGGAGTCGGTAGGTTTTTTATTTAGAGCTGCTTTATGGTTTCCGCAGTGATTTTGTTTATGCAAAGTTTCTGAGACCAATGTCATGCTGTCATTCGACCTTCTTGCTATTTTCACCATCAAGTGTAATGATTCTGTTAGCTTTTCTTTCTTGTTTCCTTGCTTTCTTTTTTCTTCGTGAAGGACCAAATAGCTTCTTTTCAATTAAAGGAAAATGCTGTGTTTTTGAACAAACTGTTCTGTGTGTGTATTAATTTCATTGCGTGATTGTGACCGAGTTTGAATTAAAACCGGTTCAGAGTACTGCATACAGTTCATAGTTTAAATGTTAAACGTGAATTATGATCGAAAAGAGTCAGCTGTTCTGTATCATGTAGACATTTCCAACCGATATTTCTTTGTTTGCTACTTGAAAATCATGTTTTACTTTTTGCATGAATTAAAGCAGAGGAGTAGTAACGTCACTGGACGGCATTAATGGCCGGTCGATTCAGTTGTTACTGAGGGAGTAATATCTACTCGAAGTAATCAGATGAAATTCAGGCTCACTTTGAAGTAATGACGATTTTAACATTTTTAAAGACTACCTTTGACATAACTTCCTCATCTGGTTCATCTTGAGGATCTGCCCAGTCAACAGTCACAACTATAGTCCCCCAAACTTTCACTCTTCCACTAGACAGCCTGCGACGAGCCAAAGATGCAGCCTGGTGATTTTCATACTCCAGAAAGGCAAAACCCCTGTTTCTTGTCTTGTCTTCCGCTGACATGTAAACAATCACATCGGTCAGTCCTGAAGTAACTTTGCCAAACTCCTCCATGATTTCTTCTTTCTGTTTGGTCTTAGGTATGGAACCAACAAACAAACGGTTGTTCGCCACAGAAAGACAAACCCCAAGACGTCTACCAGGTCTGATCTCCTTGTTGTCAAGCTTCTTCATGGCATCTTGAGCCTCCTCCTTTACTGAGTATGTGCAGAAGCCATAACCTCGGTTCAGGCCTGTCAGAGGATCCACCATAAGTCGGAAGTCATAGATTCTTCCACACTCCTCCAATATAGGAACCAGTTCATCTTCAAAACAATCTCTGGGAATTTTGCCAACAAAGACTTGACAACAGACTTTCTGTGTAGAACAATAATGCAAAAAGAAAACAAGGAATAAGTTTCAAGTGAAAGGGTAAGCCTACTAGCCTATTCTGTGAGGAAGCAACTGTAGTTTTCCCCAAAAAGGAAAAAAGTTAGTACAAGGGAAAGTTGAAGCCTTGTAACCAGGTTTCAGAAAGAAAATGTAGTTTTCCCTGCCTTTTTCTAACACTAAAATCCCATAAAACATATGATAGCACAGGTTGAGAAACAACAGATGTTTCAATAACTTTCCAAGTGCATGTTTAAGTAAGCCAAAGATCTGTACAGAGAAAGTGGCAATTTGACCCCATTTTCAGAGCAAAAATACCTCTTTTATGTCACTTCTCCATTGGACAGGCAAGATTCACATTCTGGTTGTCCAAAAGTAAAATTGGCTGTTGTTCCTTACAATTTTTGATACATCACTATTTCAAAAACAGTCTTGGAGCCCCGGTTACAGCTCAAAGAGTTCACCATTTTCCCTTTCAGTTTTATGACACAACTTCTAGATTTACCTTAAAGCAAAGGTTCTGTCTAAATACTGATAACATTGTAGCAAACTTTAAGCCATTGCAATACTCAACTTTAGGAGCCCACCATTTACCTTTTAAGGCAGGGACTGGGTAATTTTAACCCTTTAAGTCCCAATATCCACAAACAAATTCTCCAACCTGGTCTCCATACATTTCATTAAAGAATGAGTTGAGAGAATTTGTTCAAAGATCAAGGCATTTTCTCTTCGGTAATCATTTTGTTAATTCTCATTAACTGTATCCCTTGACAATGTACGGATATTGTCAGGAGAAAATTGAAATTGGTCACTATTGAGACCAACTTCTAACAATTCTATATTTGTGGAAAACAGTATCTTGCAGTGAATCAAGTTATAAAAAAATTGGAGTAAATTTGTAGGACTGATCCAGTTTTTTCAAACAATAAAGGTACCATGTTATTTCAAAATAATTCTCTAATAATGACATCTTCTGTACGCATTATTTAACCCACTGTCACCATTCTCGTTCACACGCTTTGCACAGAGGT